TAAGTGGCGCCCTCTATGAGCAATGCTGAAATTACAACACGCATCTTATTCGTCGCCTAAAAAAATATAGTTTCACAAATTTTCAAGTTCCTAACCTACATATTTTCAGAATAATCGCAAAAAAACGATTTAAAATTTTAACTTTCAACACCCTGTATTTCCGAAACTATCAACTTTCGGATAAGGCATGTTTGCGCCAATGGTCACCATTTCACATGTAGTATCTTCAGCTTTCGACTTTCCCATTGTTAATGAATCACCCTGTATAGATAATTTTTTTTAGCGGAATGATCTGCAAGGTGTTAGGGTATACAGTGCAGTAGACCTACCTGGTCTCTACACTCTTGGCACTGTTGTTATTGATTACAGAGGATACAGAGTTACCGCTCAGTCCATTATACCTGGAATACTTGAGCGAGAGCAGGAACAGTCTGTTGTCTATGGCTCCATAGATTTTGGAAAAACTGTTTTATCGCACCTTAAATACTTGGACCTGGTAAGCAACCGATGTCTTCTATTGTAAGGATTTAACTTGGAGCGTCTAATTTTTAGCTGAATAAGGCGGGTCAGCAATTGAAAATTTTACCACATCATGTGTTTAACGACAAAAGCGAGGCTGTGGAATTATGCTCAAGTGTGGAGTGCAAAGGAATTATCGGTAACGACGGGAGACATTATATTTTGGACCTGCTGCGCACATTTCCTCCAGATGTTAACTTCCTGAAATGTTTGTACCTTTTCATTCTATAATTTGTTTACTATGAATAAATACAGATGTTACTTTCTTCATTGAAAATTTTAATATCTATTTTGTAGTGGAAGACGAAGAATTAAGCAAAGAAGTAAAGATGCTGGGGTTCCCCATCGAGCATAAACACAAGCTGTGCTGTCTTAGGCAAGAATTAATAGACAGTTTCGTTGACTCGCGTTACATGATGTTCATCAAATATGCAGCCTATCACTTGCAACAATTGAACTTACGTAAAAATGAAGAAAAATTAAGTAATGCCAAAGCAATCACGGATAAGCCGGAGGTTAATGATAAAGAAGAAACGAAATCTAGCATAGAGGAAAACAGTAAGGATGAAACTACGGAAAAGGATGATAAAGAAGAAAAGAAAAGCCAAATGGAAGACGCCGAAGCCAAAAAAATTGTGGAGAGTATCACGGACGGTAGCAAATTGGAGCGTAAGTGTCTTCACGTAATTGTTTTTATACTTTACTTATTATTATTTTTGTAGTAGAAGAGAGCACGAAGAATATTGTGAAGACAGCTTCAATCGCAGTAGGTTCCTTGAAGGATACAGAATTTGATATCAGATTTAATCCGGATGTTTATTCTCCTGGCATCAAACACTGCGAAAACTTGGATCCACCGATAATAAAACAGAGGCAGTTGGTTAAAGATGCGGCAGAATTTTTGTTGACGGTTCAGATACCCACTTTCGTAAGTTTATATTGTTATATTTTAATGTTTATTTGATTGATTTTTTATTAATTGTTATTTACTGTCATATTCGATTTCCATTCTGTGCAAAAAACGGAGAGAAAGGGCGATGAAATTTTTTATTTAAAGTTATTACACCAGATCACACAATTTGAGGAAATTTACACATTAGAACGGTTTTTTAAATAACTGTAAAGACAAAATTTTGTAATTCGAATGGACATAAACAATTCCAGTTTATACACAGTCCGGCTATTAAGTTTTAGGACTGATGATGTGGTGAAGTGCGTGGCACTATCAATGTGCAGACAACGGAACTAATAGGCAAAAACACAGGGTTAAAAGGAACTATGACGGTCAAGAAATTTTATTTCATGAATCGTCAAAGGGTCATTTTACATGAAAAAACCGCGGAGTGCTATTAAATTAGAGGGTGGAAATTGGAGATAGGGGTGAAAATGCCTCCCTTTTAATTTTTTAATTGTAGATCGAAAACGAAGCAAAATTTTGGTATAGTTCATAGGAGAAATTATTTAGACAATTGATTTTCTCATCGAAATAGCTTATTTAAAAAATTTAAAAGGGAAATTTTATGCAAAAAAATTAATAAACAATTTGAAAAAAAAAAGCAAAAAAATTCGATTTTCTGATTTTTTTTACTTTTTTGCCTCTAGATTTTTTTTGGGTAAAGATAGGTACAGGCGTTGCTTCATAGAAAAAAAAGTAGATACCATTTTCTTCAAAATAAGAGCTTGTAAAGTGTTTTTGGATGAAAATTGACTGATACACGACCACTCAAACTTAGCCAATTTTTCGATTTTCGTCGCATTTACCCTTATACAGCTTTAATTCTCATCTTTTGCAAAAAAGGAAGGAAATTAGACATTCAAGGATTTTCATCATATGACTTGTTCGAAGGGTCATTAAAAATGAAAAAACCGCTGGGTGCTATTAAATTAGAGGGTTGAAATGGAAGATAGGGGGTGAAAAAGCACTTTTGCTGTTTTTTAAATATATCACGAAAACGAAGCGACATTTTGGTATAGTTCATAGGAAAAATTTTCTCATTTTTTTAGGAATTTCTCATCGAAATGGCTTATTTAAAAAATGTAAAAGGAAAGTTTTATGCAGAAAATCATTATTAAACAATTTTAAAGAAAGCAAAAAATAAAAAAAATATATTTTTTTTACTTTTTTAATAAAATAATTTTGTAAAAACTTGAGAATTTATGTACAATAAATAATGTATTTAATAATAATTTTAGATTAGATATACAGGGTGCTCATAATTAAAAAAAAAACACGAAAATACTCAAGAGAGATGTACCATTATTTATTATTTTACACAACATTTTTATAAAACAAATCTGTTTATAATATCAAATAATGTCCTAATACAAATTTTAAAATCAAAATTTCAATTCTGACTTTTACTCTATATTATTATGTATAGCTACTTCCCACCTCAAAAATTTAAATTTTGATTTTAAAATTTGTATTAGGACTTTATTTGATGTTATAAACAGATTTATTTTATAAAAATGTTGAGTAAAATAATAAATAATGGTTCTTCTCTCTTGAGTATTTTTGTGTTTTTTTTTTTAATTTAGGAGCACCCTGTATATCTAATCTAAGATGTTTGTATATAAAGGTTGAAAACCATTAACTATTTTATAAATAAAAACCATGCTTAAATAGTACAATTGTTGTGCTACTGTTAACCACTGTAAAGTATCTAATACAATACAAATAGGTGTATATCGATTACAATGTGGTATGATTCTAATGGCCCTGTTTTGAAGTTAAACATAGGTCACTGTGGCACAATAATCTAAATGGGGCTGAATTATATATTGTAACAAATAATCCTACTAAACATTGAAAATTTATTTGCTATGTGAGAGAAAAAATACAAATTCTTCGAGATTTTTTTTTGGTAATATATTCTGCATGATTATTAAAAGATAAGCTGTTATCTATAATGGATCCTAAATACTTAAATGCATCCACAATTTCTATATTTTCACCTTCCACTTTTATGACTACTTGATCAATATTTACGTGTTTATGCTTATAACTAGTTGTTAAAACCATATCTTTTGTTTTTTTCACATTCAATTTAAGTTTTTTTATTTTCAAATAATTTTCAATTTTATCCAAAACCCTATTAATCAAAAAAATTGCTTGATTTAAATTTTGATGTGATACGTATATTAAAGTATCATCGGCAAAAAGGTTAATAGCGTTATTTTGTACCACATAATTAACATCATTAAAGTATAAAAAGAAGTGGTCCCAAAACACTGCCTTGAGGCACCCCAAATTCGATAATTATTACATTTGAAATGGATGAACCAATTCTAGTTACTTGTTTTCTTCTACTTAAATAATCATCAAACCATTTTAAAACAGTATATCTTCAGTAGTTCTGGTTTCACTCAATATTATAATGGATGAATTATAATAGACATTGGTTTATTATACATGATTTATTTGCTACGAAACTTTGACTATTTACATAAATTATATCTTGATTTAATTGAATCATCAACTAGTTTTTTGAATGGGTTATTTTATTGTTTATATATTTTATTGTTTTAGAATCATCACCATTTGCAATAATTTGCTCTAATTTATTTTTAATATGGACATGATGTTCTCTCTGTGCTTTTGTTTGATCACTCACCCATATATTTTAATCCCAGGAACTTTAATACTTTTCTTAGCCTTTAGAACATTTATTGCATCTTCAGCACAATTAAAAGTAACTTTGAATGGACGATCTCTAGATGGGTTATATTTTCCCAACCGAAATACTTTTATATTATCTTTGGTTAATAATATCTTTATGAATGTCATTAACTGCATCAATATTTTGTTTATTTCTTTCCAAACACGTTTTTCGTTGAGATTCCCTAACATTAAATATATTTACATTTGACCTGCAATTTAGCCTATCCAACATCTCCGTAATAATGTTTTTCTGACAATTAATATCAGTAATTGTTAATGAACTATTTGTTTTTGAAGTATTAAGGTCAGATTGAAAATCATTAATTTTCTGTATAAGGACAGGGACTTGAGATAAACCCTTTTCACAATTGTTTTTTTAAAGACATGCATTTTATTTCAGATGCAGTCAACTCGGAGCATACATTACAAATTGGTCATTTTTAGTTTCATCATTATTACATTTTGAACATTTTGAAAACTCACTAAGCCAGTCCTGTCTGAATTTCACAAAGAGTCTTTACTATCTTTTAATTTTTTGCTACTTTAAATATGATAACTTTTTCCTTTTTTCTTCTTTTTAACTCCAACCAAAACACCAATATAAAGTTTCAGATGCACTTATTTCATTACCAACATTAATATAATACAACCACAAAAAAATCACCATCAAACCACAGCTCAACTGTATTAGGTAAATATAAGTATCACTACAAGCCCATCGGAAATTTTCAAGGGGTCATTTGACCCAGCATGAATTACTTACCACATATAACACATAACACATATAACAATAACTTTGGAAACTATGCCATCAATTCTTGTTGGTACAGGTGAGTACAAAGGTAAGCTAAACCTATCCATCAAGGGGGGGGGGGGGGGGTTGGCAAAACATTTTTATACGGCATTTCTAAAGTATATAGGTTATACAACAAAATGAACCTCGACCTAATGCCATACAAAAATAGCAATACCCGAAGCTAGGAGAATTTTTCATTTTCCGAAAATTGGTGGCCCGGGTTTTGGTGAAATATTTTGGTGCAAGTTTTGGATCGATACATAAATTTTTAAGCGACGCCGTACGTACTTGGTGATACAGGGGTTAGGAATACAGGGTGGAACCCTCTATTTGTAAGTAGCATATGAGGGTGATTTCAACCAACATCAAATTCACTAATTTTAATTCTATTTTATAAAATAATGACATTTTTGGCCAAGCTGTACATTTTTCATGAAACATGTGCTTACTATAGGAAAATGAATTTCACTCTGAAAAGTAGGATTTCACGGTGAAAAATTTTTGTACCGCATTAATATATTTTGTTAATAATAACAACAACAATAATCAACAAAAACAAAATTCCTTACAAAAAAATGGTTCTAAATAGTTTGAAATATATTTTTGCAAATAAGTATTACTTGCAAGAATTGATTTTATTTTTACTACTACTTTCTAATTAATACAAATTATTTACTACTGTACGGCCTTTCTATAATAAGACTTTCAATATCATATAGAAATATTTTTCAGTAATGCCATACATATTTGTTGATACAGGAGTGAGTTCTGACACTTATGGTTTTTGATCATTGAAAAATGGTCAGCATTGCTGCTAAAACATTATTTAAGATGTAATAATTTTTAAGTAATATGCTGTTGAAAAAACAGGTCGACATAAAAATTATTAATTTTATTTTGAAAAGCTTATATGTATATATTAATTTTTTTTTTCACAAGTACATTAGTAAAAATGTTTCAAAATCCAAAAAATTATTAAAAAATCAAGAAAAAAATTTCATCAGAATATTTTTAAAAAATTGGAATTATTTTTATTTTAAAATTAAAATCACCGCTTCGAGATTCTAGCTGGCCATCGAAACATCTTCTTTCTCTGTCTCTTTTTTCTTTTCGGCATGTATATTTTTTGTGTGTTTTCATGTTTATAACCGACAATTTTAAAGTTGTTTTTGTAACAAATGCACTTTCAAATTATTTTTACTAATTTTAAACATATATTGTATGCCAATGGCTTCATCACAATTTTGGCAAAAATAAATTGTTCAAACAATTGTAACAGAAGTTGCAAATATGCATATGGAGGGTACTGTTACTTCAAAACATATATTATGTCACTGTTTTAAATGTAAGTATTTATATAGGAATTTTCATGAATATCGAGTTAAAATTAATTGTTTATTATTATATTTATTTAAAAATAATACTTTCTTGCACATCATTAAGTTTTTAAATTTCTCAAAATATTTTCTCGATTCTCTATATACAATTTTTTTTTTACTTAAAGACAATGGCTATCATAATTTCTACGGCATAAATTAAATTTCTCTTGAAATTAGAATAAAACTCATTTTGGACTTGAACAATATCGGAGAATTGTTCCAACGAATATGTACGGCATTGCAATTTTCATTCTTTATATTATATTTCTGATGAAAATTTGTAAAAGCCGTATAGTTATTAATGACCTAAAAATGTAGTAAAAATTTAATGAAAAATATTATCAGCTATGTAAAATCCACTAGTTAAAAATGTACTGCATTGGTTTTTTTATATTTTTTTACTTATGAAAAATCAATTACAACCATAATAGTTTGAATATAACATTTTTGGTTTATAACAAGGAATTTTCAAAATATTGTAAATTTTCACAAAGTTAAATAATCATGTGCAATCGATGCCGTACATTTTTCAATGACTTGAAACAATGGGGGCTAAAATAGAGGGTTGCACCCTGCATTTCTAACCCCTGGATCAGCAGATACGTACTAAAAAAGTTATCTACGTATCAATCCGAAACTTGCAGTATAAATGCCGTACTGTAGTAAATCTCCAAAAACTGGGCCAAAATTTTCAGAAAATCAAAAATTTTCCTCCTGGATTGCTATTTTTGTATGGCATTAGGTCGAGGTTCATTTTTTTTGTATAACCTATATACTTTAGAAATGCCGTACAAAAATGTTTTGCCGAAAACCATTCCCCCTTGGTGGACAGGTTTAGCTTACCTGTGTACTCACCTGTACCAACAAGAATTGACGGCATAGTTTCTAAAGTAATTGTTATATGTAGTAGTATTGATTTATAAATCATTCATGCTGGGTCAAATGATGGTTTCCGATGGGCTTGTAGTCTATAACCAAATAGTTGCGTAGGTATTATTTTTTATAAAATCTGAATGTAAATCTTACTCATGAACATCAGTTTTTCTATATTGTAAATGCAACAAAAAATTTCCATATGCATTTAGTTGTTTCACCTTGAAAATTTAAAAAATGTTGCCTGCGGCGCTTTTTTTTACATTCTTATCTCACCAATTCACAATGTCATGAGCCGCCACTAGCATACAGTAATCAGGTTCAGTCTTAAAGCCGATAAAACGGCCACGGAAACTAACAAAAACATCAAAGCTGTACGCTCTGCGCTGAAGTTCAAGTCGATTAATCGTACACAGAGTGCACAGCTTCGATGTTTTCGTTTGTTAAAGAATTATTTTCCTTCCAGATTAGGGACTGCTTGGACCATTCCTCAGCTCCCATGGATGGTTTTACACTATCAGAAGCCATGCATAATAGAGGAATTAACATTAGATACCTCGGAAAAGTTACCAATCTGTTAGCCAAAGTGAAACAGCTGGAATATTTGCATAGCATTGCAGCTTCCGAATTACTGTTACGTTCAGCGAAACACATATTTACCGTTTACTTACAGGTAATCCGTAACGAATTCATCAAATATCCGTATTAAAACGTTGTGTTTTAGGGATGCGAGATGATGAATTTGGCGGTAGCAATCACCCACTTTTTGAACTGTTTTTTGTACTCGGGTCCTGTAACAAATCCTTCGCAGGGACAAGATGAGGTAGGTGTCGCAATTTATACCGGAAAATACTTTTTTACATTTGAATTTACTTTTCAGAACAAAAATAATAAAAAGAGGAACAAACGGCGTGGTCGGGTTAACCCTCTGTCCTGCAACGACAATAACGAATGGGCCACTCTTACCCCAAAATCATTATGGAACCAACTGAAAACGGAACTAAAACAGTACTTTGACTACGAATTGCTCTCCAATGACATTGAGACAACTTTGGAGACTTATTCCTTGCAAAAGATCTCCCTCCTAAGGTCCTTCTGTTTGAAAACCGGAATTCAGATATTATTGAGGGACTACAACTTTGAATCGAAGAACAAACTTATCTTTTACGAGGAAGATATAGTAAATATATTCCCCATAGTTAAACATATTAACCCGAGGGCTACCGATGCCTACAATTTCTACACGACGGGGCAGAACAAGATCCAGCAGGGTTATCTGAAGGACGGTTACGAACTCATCAGCGAAGCTCTCAATCTGTTGAATAACGTGTACGGGGCCATGCACCCAGAAATCGCTCAGTGCTTAAGAATGATCGCACGCTTGAACTATATCATGGGGGAACATGGAGAGGCGATGGCTTACCAGCAGAAAGCTGTGCTGATGTCTGAGAGGGTGAACGGTATCGATCACCCGTATACGATCACAGAATATGTAAGTATTGCAAATAATTTAAAATAATATTCACCGGATTTAAATTCACTTCATATGTCAATTTGTATCAATACAATTTAATGCACTTACTGCGGTCTTTATATTTAATGTTTTAAAATATCGCAAAGTTATGTTTTTTTTAATGCAATGTAAAGTTTATAAAAACAGATAACAGTAACGCCTCGGTCGCTAGTGACCAAACAACAAATGTTATAGAAACCTGTTTAGGTGGGTATGTGTAGGTTGATTACGGCTACATTTTAAAAATATTTTGAAATATACAGAGTATCCAGGAAAAGCGTACCATATCAAAGTTATGTTTTTTTAAAAGGAACACCCAGTATTTTAATGCATTTTTGAAAGCACCGTAAAAAATAGGTGAACTTTATTAAAGGTTCTGCATACCTAGGACTTATAGATTGTGAGATATTTCAATTTTAGTGAAAATGCAGGCATAGCGTAGAAATTTAATGTTAGCAATAAAAAAATAATTTTAAGAAAGCAGAATTGTAGGGTCTATTTTAGATCCTTGAAGTTATAAATTGTTATATTTGTCGTCACTTAGTATTATACAGGGTGTTCAAAAAACTGCTGAATACTTTTCGCAACTTTAAACAGCAATAACTTGGTTATTTTAAATGGAACACCCAGTATATTTTTACTTTGGGAGTTGGGAAATTTAAAACTCTTTCAAACTGTGTATAGGTTCCCTATACCTATCTCTAACGGTATTGGAGATATTTGTGCCGTTTCGTTTTTTTTATCGATTTTTTTTGAAAGATGTATGCAGATATGTGTTTATCGAGGTCTTTACTGAATTGGTTTGGGTTCTTCTTGATGACGTCTTTTTAAATATAAAAATAGAAATAGAAATAAATAGAAAAATGTGAATGCAATTAGATGGTGCACCTGCACATTTTTCATATTCAGTGAGAAATTATATAAATCGATAATTAAGTAATAAATGAGTAGGTAGGAATGGCCCATGTCAGTGGTTACCACAGGTGTCCAAACCTCTCGTAATGGATTTCTTTGTTTCGGGCTGTATAAAAAATCTTGTACACAGTGTTCCACCTACTACTTGCGATGATATGAAGGGAAGAATTAGATAGGCATTTGCCACAATCACCCCAAATATTCTAAGGAATGTGAGAATATCATTTGAAGATAGAATAAGATTATGTATTCAAGAGAATGGTTATCAATTCGAACATCTACTAAAATTTTTCTTTGTTTCTTCTAAAAGTAAAATTTTCTTTAATAAATATTTTTCATGTTCATAAATAATTCAGTTACTTACTACAAACATATTTATACAGAATTAATAATTTTTTATAATTATTCTGCTTATAAAATAATATTTTTTATTAGAAAGCTTTTTTGAATATTGTCATGATAATGATAAAAGGAAATTTTACTTTTACAAGAAACAAAGAAAAATTTTAATTGATGTTCGAATTGATAACCATTCTCTTGAATACAGCATCTTATTATATCTTCAAATGATATTCTCACGCAAATGCATATCTAATCCTCCCCTTTAATATCATCGCAAGTAGTAGGTGGAACATTGTGTACAAGATTTTTTATATAGCTCGCAACAAATAAGTCCATTACGGTGAGTTCTGGACTCCTACGTGTCCACTGACATGCTCCATTCCTACTTATCCATTTGTTACTAAATTTTCGATTTAAATAATTTCTCACTGAATATGAAAAATTTGCAGGTGCGCCATCTAATTGTATCCTCATTTTTCTCAATATATTTAATGAGACGACATCAAGAAGAACCCAAACCAATTCACTAAAGACCTCGATAAAGACACGTGGATACATCTTACAAAAAAATCGATAAAAAAGGAAACGGCACAAATATCTCCAATACCGTTAGAGATAGCTATAGGGAACCTATACACAGTTTGAAAGAGTTTTAAATTTCCCAACTCCCAAAGTAAAAATATACTGGGTGTTCCATTTAAAATAACCAAGTTATTGCTGTTTAAAGTTGAGAGAAGTATTCAGCAGTTTTTTTAACACTCTGTATAATACTAAGTGACGACAAATATAACAATTTATAACTTCAAGGATCTAAAATAGACCCTCCAAAGCTGCTTCCTTAAAATTATTTTTTTATTGCTAATATTAAATTTCTACGCTATGCCTGCATTTTCACTAAAATTGAAATATCTCACAAACCGTAAGTCCTAGGTATGCAGAGCGTTTAATATAGTTCACCTATTTTTTTACGGTGCTTTCAAAAATACAGGGTGTTCCATTTAAAAAAACATAACTTTAATATGGTACGCTTTTCCTGGACACCCTGTATATCTCAAAATATTTTTAAAATGTAGCCGTAATCAACCTACACATACCCACCTATACAGGTTTCTGTAACATTTGCCGTTTGGTCACTAACGACCGAGGCGTTACTGGTGGCCCATCCTGCATAAAAGTTAAAAATAACATTTTAATTAAAAATCATTTAAAATTTAAGTACCGTCGTGGCTTCTTTTTGGATTAATTCTTGTGTTTATTATCCTAACATTTTTTCTTTGACAAATTAGTGGTTTTATTGGTTATGGATTTTGGTTCTATTCATTGTTTTAATAATGGCTTCTATAATACGTTTGAAGTGAAAATTGAAATTTTTTTAATTTACGGGGAATGTCGACGAAGTGCAGCCGCAGCATCTTGTTTATACACAAAAAAATTGTGTTAAATCATCCGACACGTTTTAGGCTCATCTGGCTTTATACTGTTTTGCGAACAGCCAAGTTAGCACTTCCCTGAAGTTGTTGTACAGGGCAAGGTATCTAGCCGTTATTGTATGTGGGGAAAATCATCCCGAAGTTGCCTTGTTAGATGTAAGTAAGATTTAATTTCTCCCAATTACAATATTAGTCGTCCATGTATAAAACGCACTTCCCTGTTTTTTTTTTTTCAGAGCAATATTAGTTTAATTCTTCACGCGGTAGGAGAATATGAATTATCGTTACGCTTCCTGGAAAAGGCCTTAGCACTGAATATTAAATATTACGGGGCCAAATCGCTGAAGGTCGCGGTCAGCTACCACTTAGTTGCTAGGACACAAAGTTGTATGGGTAACTTTAGGTCAGCGTTAAACAATGAAAAAGAAGCTTATGCTATTTATAAGCAACAGGTAATCAAACGCCTCCGTGACGCAATATTAAATAACACAACTACACAAAAAATAAAAAGTTGTCTACTTTTCATGCGACATATGTTATCTGTTGTATTTTTGCCTCCTGATCACGAATCCGGTGTCGGAAGTGAGCTATCACATCTCAGGAATTTCCTAACCTCAAAAAATAGGTCAAAAATAGCAAAAATTCACGAAAAAGTGCTTGGAAAAATACAGAAAATTTTTTTTCCTACATTCAAATGTTCACTTATATGGTTAAGATCCCGCCGAACGTGAATCCGCGGTCAGAATTGATGGTTCTTTTTTTCTAACCTCAAAAAAAAATCGAGTCAATCAAGGTCAGATTCACGAATTTTCAAAAAATAACAGGTTCGCGCCAAATTTGGTGTACGGGGGTTTTCGGGGTCGCTGATCGCGGGTCCGAGGTCAATTTTGCAAAATTCAAGATGGCAGATTCAAGATGGCCGAACGAATTTTTAAAAAATAACACATTTGCGTCAAATTTGGTATACTGGGGTTTTCGGGATTACTGATGACGGATTCGAGGCTAATTATGCAAAATTCAAGATGGCGGATCCAAGATGGCCGAACAAATTTTCAAAGAATAGCGTTTGCGCCAAATTTGTTATACGGGGGTTTTCGGGGTCGCTGATCACGGATTCGAGGTCAATTTTGCAAAATTCAAGATGACAGGTCCAAGATGGCCGAACAAATTTTTAAAAAATAACACATTTGCGTCAAATTTGGTATACTGGTGTTTTCGAGGTCGCTGATCACGGATCCGAGGTTAATTTTGCAAAATTCAAGATGGCGGATCCCAGATGGCCGAACAAATTTTCAAAGAATAACGTTCGTGCCAAATTTTTTATAGATGGGATTTTGTGGTCGCTGATCACAGATCCGAGGTCAGTTTTGCAAATTTCAAGATGACGGATCCAAGATGGCCGACCAAATTTAAAAAAAATAACACATTCACATCAAATTTGATATACCTGGGTTTTCGGAGCCGCAGTTTGTAATATTTTTCTTTACTTTATAACCTGTGTACCCAATCATGTTTTCAGCATCTTTTTTTTTTCGGCTATATCTTGTTCTTTTTTCTGTAAAAGATCTATTAACGGGTTTTCTGACGAATCTCAGGTTATAAAGTACATAGGTAATTGATTAAATTTTTAAAAACTAATTTTGTAAATCTGATCTCGGATTCGTGATCAGTGACCCCAAAATTTAGTCGGCCATGTTAGATCTGCCATCTTGAATTTTGCAAAATTGACCTCGAATCCGTGACCAGCGACCCGGAAAACCCTCGTATACCAAATTTGGCGCGAATCTGTTCTTTTTTGAAAATTTGTGATATCTGAACCATTTTTTTTAGGTTAGAAAAAGAACCATCAATTCTGACCGCGGATTCACATTCGGTGGGGTCTTAACCATATAAATGAACATTTGAATATAGAAAAAAAAAAAAAAAATTGTATTTTTCCTAGCACTTTTCCGTGAATTTTTGCTATTTTTGACCTGTTTTTTCAGGTTAGGAAATTCTTGTGATCAATTCTGACACCGGATTCATGATCAGGAGGCAAAAATACTACGGATAACATATGTCGCATGAAAAGTACAGACAACTTTTCTTTTTTTGTGTGGCTGTGTAATTAATTTCAATCTGAATTCTTAAAATAGCTGGGAGAGAACCATGAAAAAACCAAAGAATCCTCGGAATGTTTGAAGCATCTTACGCAACAAGCCGTTGTGCTGCAAAAGAAAATGAACGAGATATACACAGGTAAAAACGGAGCCTCACTGCCGCCGATACAAATTCAGCCACCTTCAATGGGATCCGTACTAGATATGCTTAATGTTATAAATGGAATATTATTTGTACAAATAAGGTAAAGGCGGTAACCTTAACTTTTTTTAAATTTTTAATTGGGTACATTTGTTTTCAGTCAGGAGGATATTGAAAACTTTAAGGCTGAAATTGAGAAGAGACAGTTAAGTGAGGAATCTGAAGACCAAGAACAAAAAGCGGCGGTACCGGAAGCCATCAAAAGTTAAGAATGATTTTAAATCGTATGTAACTGTAAAAGGTAGAGTCGAATAGGGTAGTATCTTCCGGTGTTATTTTTTATATCGTCAGCAACAGGCATCTTCGTGAAATTGTGCTAGTCAGTTTAAGTGCAAGGGACAATAACACAATGTTCAAATTTGTTATTTTGATGCAGTCTTTGCAAATGAAAGTCGATTTCGAAATTTGTTGCTATTTTTCTATACAAAAAATTCTGGATGTGTTCCACCTAATATAATTTTTTCCTTAGAAATCAGTCTATGTGTTGTGTGGCTGATCAGAAACTGTGAGAGCATAGCAGTGATAACTTGTGGGCAATAATGGTCTTGTATTTATTGTTTGTTTTCGCTTTATATTCCAGATCATGACGAAGCCCATTGATCTCCTCTTTCTCCCTCTGCAGCCTTATTTCCTCTTCACGTTGTCGAATCTTAGCGATCCTTTCCGCTTTCTCTTTATTTATACTGGTCGAATTCCTGCCTCTCTTTGACACGCCTCTCGGTGTTCAACTGGAATTCGCTTATTTCAGTCAACTGTCTTTCCTCCTTCATTGGTTTGAACGGCTTCTTTTTTAGAATTGTGGCTGGTCTAGCTTTGAACTGAGTTGATACGTTCTCCTAAATTAAATGCGCCATAAACCAGAATAGAAGAATTGCTCCTAAAAGTAGAGGATGTCTTGAGGACTTAAATAAACCAAAGTTACTTCATTTAGTCTCCGAAGGGCATCAAAGAATTTATCTATACAGGATGTTGCAAAATGTTGTTCAGAGGATTTTAGAGCAATTTTATATCCAAATATACGAACAAAATTCTTATAAACCTAGGTCCGCAAATGCTTTGTTTTCGAAATAGAGGGTGTCAAAAAAAAATTGAAAAATGTTTTTTTATTGATAATTTTTAAGTTTTTCATTGGAAATCGTTTATATTTGGGTCATTTATTTCTCCATAGTGACAGCGTATGTTATTTTTCAGTGACAGTCGCCAACTATGTTATTTTAGTATGTAATGATTTTATAGATATATTAGGCCGATTTTTAAAAATCTTCAATAGCTTGAAAGCTGCTCGCTAAATGACAAATGTGCCTTTTTGCTCTAAAATAAATGTGGTTCCTAAAAATAAAGTAAAAACCAGTAGAAAAACCAATGGTGTAGACTTTCTGGTCAAAAATCAATAAACACTCTCCCATATCCCCTGACGGATCTGAAATGCAATCAATTATACCAAATTATAACGTACGTATCATAAATGTATTGACCCAAATTTAAAAGATTTCCAATGAAAAAGTGGTGTCAGTTAAATTGTCTGAAATTTTGATACGTTGCAGCTGTTAACCTGCCAATCAAAAGTCTCCATTGGCGCAATATCCAAAAGTTTTATAGTTTTCGTGTTACGTTGACTTCAGGGCAATAACTCTGTATTCGAAACCTAAGTCGAAAACTATGAACTTTTGAATATTGCGCCAATGGAGACTTTCGATCGGCAGGTTAACAGCTGTAACGTATCAAAATTTCAGCCAATTTAACTGAAACCACTTTTTCATAAGAAAAGTGCAGGGTCCTTTAGAAATTATCAATAAAAAACATGTTTTTTTATTTTTTTTCACCCTCTAATTCGAAAACGGAGGATTTGAGGACCTACGTTTATAGGAATTTTTTTTTCATATTTTTGGATGTAGAATCTGCTCTAGAATTATCTGAACAACATTTTGCAACACCCGTATATTCAGAGTATTCTTATATATTCGCACAGCATTCCTATGCGTTTCGTTGTATGCCAGTGTATTCTCACTATATTTTGATGTATTCCCAACGTATGCTGATCATAAGACACTGTTTCAATCTAGTCAATCAGTCCTTGAATTTTGCTTATTTACATTAATAGAAGGTTAGGAAATCTTTTAGTTTACAACTGTGACTGCCTAACCCTTATTTACACAGTATATCCCTTGTATATGGAACTACTGCAGATTTTTTTTGTCCGAATAATGATTTTAAACTTATTTCTATCCAAAGTTGCATCATATCAAAGAACTCTAAAATGCTCTATTCCATTTATGAAATGAAATTCAAGATCAAAATATTAAAAAAGCAAGTGGCTTGGCTTTTAGTACTTTAAGAACATAAACCAAATGTAAAGTTGGCAACAACAATTCCGGAGCCATTCGGTTTCGAGGAAAGAGATCAGCTGATGTTTAAGAAAAAAGAGGAATTTATAAAGAGGGTTATAGAAGAGGAAAAAATGGGAGCAGAATTTCATGCTCGTCCTATTCCAAAAGTTATACTGAAATCTGCCAAAAGTAACTAGTTTAAAGCATTCGGATCCTTCCGACATAAACTGCGAGCTCACGGAAAGTGACAATTTCAAAATAATTCATCGACTGTTTATTATTTATTTTTAACAGTCATTTAGTTCAGTGTAGATTAAGTGATTTTTATGAAGAAATGATCTATAAGCCCTCAAATTGTACTCTGACTATGGTTTATTCCCATTTATTTTAACGTCTTTCTATTTATTCTTGGTCGTTACAATATTTTTTATTCCAACATATTCTGTTTCATTTTATTCTTATGTGTTCCAACTAGTAATATGATTTACTCCGTCATATTTCTATGTATTCCAACTGTATTCTGATGCACCCCCAATACATCCTGATATATTCACACAGTATTCCATGTATTCGCACAGTATTCCTATGCATTCGGCCAGTATTTCCGTGTATTCACACAGCATTCTTATGTATTCCCACATTATTCTGTTGTATCAACACAGTATTCCAATGTGTTCCCACCGTATTCTTATCAAAACCGTGATTCAAGCAAAGACTTAGCCAGTCCTAGTTTGCCCTGCATATGTTAAATATTGAAAAAAGGTTAATTATTTACGGTTTTATCTGCCAGCATAGTGTATTATTATATTTTGAATTTGAGCACAGCAAAAATGTTTGCACACTTGCTTTTTTAGAATTTTGATGTTGAATTTCATTTCATGAATGGAATAGAGCGTTTTAGAGTTCTTTGATATGATGCAACTTTGGATAGAAATAAGTTTAAAATCAGTATTCTGACAAAAAAAAATCTGTAGTAGTTCCATATAGAAGGAATATACTATGTAAATAAGGGTTAGACAGTCACAGTTGTAAACTAAAAGATTTCCTAACCTTCTATTAATGTAAATAAGCAAAATTCAAGGACCGATTGACTAGATTGGAACAGTGTCTTATGATCAGCATACGGTGGGAATACATCAGAATATAGTGAGAATACATTGGCATACAATGAAACGCATAGGAATGCTGTGTGAATATATAAGAATACTCTGAATATACGGGTGTTGCAAAATGTTGTTCAGATAGTTCTAGAGCAGATTCTACATCCAAAAATACGAAAAAAAAGTCCTGAAGAATTATCTGAACAACATTTTGCAACACCCGTATATTCAGAGTATTCTTATATATATCATTGTATGCCAATGTTTTCTCACTATATTCTGATGTATTCCCAACGTATGCTGATCAAAAGACACTGTTTCAATCTAGTCAATCAGTCCTTGAATTTTGCTTATTTACATTAATAGGTTAGGAAATCTTTTAGTTTACAACTGTGATTGTCTAACTTTTATTTACACAGTATATTGCTTGTATGTATATGGAACTACTACAGATTTTTTTTGTCGGAATAATGATTTTAAACTTATTTCTATCCATATCAAAGAACCCTAAAACACTATATTTCATTTATAAAATGAAAAAGATCAAAATATTAAAAAGCAAGTGACCAAAATATTTGAAATAAGCCACCTAAAATGACTAGTTAATATTAGCAAACTCGCTTTGTAAATCTGTAGCTATATGATATTTTAACAAAGCTCCATAATGCAGGTATCCACGAATGGAGTTAAAAAGAGGTACAACTATTTTTCATTTTATGGAAAAGAGTCATTCCGGTAAAAAAAGATTGCCGTGATCAAATTCAGAATTCAATAATACAATATGCTGCCAGATAAAAACGTAAATAGCTCACATTTTTTCAATATTTAACATGTGCTGGGTGAACTAGGGACTTGAATCAGTTTTGATAAGAATACGGTGGGAACACATTGGAATACTGTGTTGATACATCAAAATACTGTGGGAATATATAAGAATGTTGTGCAAATACACGGGAATACTGGTCGAATGCATAGGAATACTGTGCGAATACACGGAATACTGTGCGAATACACGGAATACTGTGAGAATATATCAGGATGTATTGGGGCTGCATCAGAATACAGTTGGAATACATAGAAATATGACGGAATAAATCATATTACTAGTTGGAACACATTGGAATAAAATGAAAGATAAAATATGATGGAATGTTTTATGTTGGAATAAAAAATACTGTAACGACCAAGAATACATAGACAGACGTCAAAATAAATGGGTATTCCCATTTATTACCACAGTCAGAGTACATTTTGAGGGCTTATAGATCATTTCACTTAATCTACACTGAACTAAATGAATGTTAACAATAAATAATAAACAGTCGTTGAATTATTTTGAAATTGTCACTTACCGTAAGCTTGCAGTTTATGTCCGAAGGATCCGAACGCTTTAAACTAGAGTTACTTTTGGCAGATTTCAGTATAATTTTTGGAATAAGACGAGCATGAAATTCTGCTGATATTTTTTCGTCTTCTATAACCTTCTTTATAAATTCCTCTTTTTTCTTAAACATCAGCCGAACTCTTTCCTCGAAACTTAATGGCTTCGGAATCGTTGTTGCCAATTTTACATTTGGTTTATGTTCTCAAAGTACTAAAAGCCAAGCTTGAAAATAATATATTTTAACTGTGGCTATAAAAAGAAAACAGTATGTTTATAAGTGGCTTCTCTATTATTTGTTCCAATTATTGGTCTTATGTATTGGAACATTTAAGTTCTACCTGTTAAGGTCATGTGTTAATTAGATATGATAAAATGGGATGTACTTAAATATTGGAGCGCTGTATATTTTATTTGCACACTTGTTTTTAGCTGATGCTGCCAATTATTGTTTTATGATTGATATCTAAATAACTTTTACCGCAAGTGTTACTGTCCCTCATATTCTTTATGTTCTGACCTTTTGTTAGAACTACTTGTATATGTGATTTAAACGATCGGTCATGGAAAGTTACCCCAGCAGATTATACTATGACCGATACTAAATGGTTATTCAAAAAATTTTTGTTAATGTTACCAAATTTGCTGTTATGATTTTCAGGTTGTATATTAAATATAATGTAGACTGTAAGACTTTTGGTATATGGTCAATATGCGTGTTGCTGAAAAAAATGTTGGCACTGTATTGGGAAGTGCAGTTTTCTATAATAGTTAAATTTTTTTGTAATCAGGATTTTGTTATTAAGTAAATAAATTTGATTACATATTTGTAGTTATTTTTTTAACTTATATTTCCAAAATAAATTGTGATTTAACACAAACGATAATATATGTATATTTTGCTACTGGTCTTCATAATTCAATGCAAGTAATCGAGTAATGCCAATTGAATATAGAAAATGATGAAAAAAGTGGCATATAATTGCACATCAGCAGACGATTGCTCATCAAAATGTCAATAATGTGATGTTCTGAAATTTTTCCCTGACAAGAAAAAATCATACTTAGAATTCAGAATTTCTTTATTAAACAAAAAGATATTAAAAATATAATAAAATATTCAAAACGAGATTTGTGGATATATTTACATATTCATTTTCTGCAACAGGCTCCACAGTGATGTTCCTCTCTACATATGGTTCAGCTTTCTTTGCTGGCAAATATTGTGTATATTAGAATAATAATCATCTAATCAAAGCATATAACCTTTTTGGGGACTTTTTTGGAAAAACTATCGATCATTATTTTTTTTATTAGGTTTTAAGTAAATTAACCTCCAAAATTGTGGACTCAGAAAGGCTTAAGCCGGCAAAAGAGAACGGTGCATACAAAAACGTGAAGTCTTAACTCTAAAGCCGACTTAAAATTATACGGTGACGGTGCATACGGGTATTAATGAAGTTTATTCGCTTATAGTACGGGAACGCGCCAAAAGAGGCGCTGCTAATGGAAGCTGACGGGAAGAAAACATTTACATCTAAAAAACAAAAGCATTTACTAATCCGTGGTTATACTGGTAAGTTTGTTGTTTTTAACCTATAAAATATTTATAATACCCAAAATATTAATTATTTTTAATATTTTTTTTTATTAACTTTATGATTTTAGAATAAGAATTTTCAATACTATTCGTGTATATCCTTCAAAAGGATGTAAAAAGTTTGAAGTCAAAGTATTAAGCTATAGTTTTATTATGTTGAAAGAAGGATGTAAGTTAAATAGTTTATATTGTTCAAGTTATTAAGTAAAATCTGTTGTAGTATCTCTCATGTTTGTCGCTTTATTATGGGGAGGAACAAATCCACTAATTAAAAAAAATTCAAAGGAAATTCTCAATGTGAAAGCAGATTCAAGAATTCTTCAGTTTATATTGGAATTAAAATATTTGGCAACAAACGTCAGAGTAAGCTTCTCATCTGCTTAGTTAATGTATGTATTTTTTATTTCAATTTTAGTACCTGATTCCAATGGCTTTAAATCAATTAGGATCTGTTCTATATTTCTTAACACTGAAAAACGTCGACTTAACATTATCTGTTCCAGTAGCAAATTCTTTAACATTTGTATTCACTGCATTGTCTGGTTGGATCTTAGGAGAACAACTGCCAAGAAAAAGTATTTTTTATATATCAAAACAATAATATGTGTAGTCAATAATGTTTCAATTTTAGATGCCATTTTTGGAATCCTTTTAATACTTGTTGGGACTGTGTTATGTTGCATCGATAAATATGTAAACAAAGTAGATTAATTTGTTTAGTGGTTAACACTTGTACACATTACAAAAATTTGGGTGAAATGACAGCAGTGTAATGATTTTTTTATGTTAGTAATCTTCCGAACAGTAAGTGAATCTATTAAAATATGATGCAGTAGTGGAATAAGTTGTTTCTATCACGCACGCTCGCTATGGGACCTATAGTGTAGGGGTTATGTGCACGGAAAGTGCCAGATAGTACAACGGCTTAATGTTATTTTCATAGCGCAACGCTCCAGCTCGTGCGTCAACTGCGCCCGCGTGGCGCTCTTGCCAACTTTTCCTCACTCGTTACACAATGTACTATAGTGCGGGGGAACTTGTAATTGAATGGTAATTAAATACTTTTAATGCTCCTAGAAATATGTCTTTCTCTTACCAATGGTTGGATTAATATTAAAATTGTATATTCAATACTACAATCGATAATGAAACCAAAATGAATACTGATTATTTTTTATTATAATTAAATATCATAAATACACACTTTATATTAATCATTCTAAATCTAGTAATTATCATTACTCAAGATGTGTAGTGCTACATAGAAATATATACATCACTATTAGCGATAAAAGATTAAATCCTGATAAGCCTAAAAATTAGGTGTTATGAGAAATTTATGGCACATTTTGGTAGGAAAGGCAATGGCAATAAGTTGCTAGTAACGTAATATTTCAGTTCAATTTAAAATTATTCGTTATTGCTTGTATCTTTTATAAAAAACTATAATTCTCTAGTATTCATAGCTTAAACTTTTTCTATTCCTTGATGGATTTAATAGCTTTATAGGTTGTTGTGAAATTGTTACAAAATAGTATCATCGTAAATTAAAGCCTTAATAACAGTTTTTAAACAGCATAACATGAGACTACTTACTCGAATACATGTAATTGTAGACATAAAAATTGCTTGTACTACTTTGCAGAGGCTACTGAATATTTCTCGATAAGTTTTTATAGAAATTTCATAGTTATTTAAATTTTTTCTTTTGCTAATTTGTACATTATTATTGTCAATATTTGCTACTAATTATATTTTCAGCTGATATACATTAATTTAAATTGTTCATTAATAAATTAAATGTTTGATTTTAAAGAGTTTGTTAAAGGAAATCTCTTGTCATGTACAATAATTTTAAAATACTTCTCTTTTTATTAAAATATTAAATATAAAATAGTATTAAATGACTAGCAAGTAATAAGTTATTTCCAAAATTCTAAATGATTACTTTTATTAGAAATAAAAAATAACTAATTTATTATGGCTTTCGAGGTTCTATTAAATTTTCGTTAGGCGGTTTTGTTGTTAAATTACTTGATTGGTCAGTTGTGCTGCTCTTGTTGAATTGTTGGTTTAATAACAGTTCGTTTTGGGATGACAGCTTTTCGATTCTACTTCTGAGTTCTTCGATCTCAGAAGCCAACTTAGTGATTTGTTGTCCCTGTTGCACTGGATCGAACACTTGAGTATTCGTGGTAATTTGGGTTTGGTCGTTTGCCCTAGTTGATGAATTGTTCGCATTGGATCCCGTCTTTCTTTGCAAATTTTGAGTCAGATTATCGTTGCTTTCTTGTCTTTCAGAACTAGTTAATCGCAAGGCATTATTTGTATTCTCTAAGGTTAAGCCTACAGGTTTTTCTATTTTTACTGGGACGTTAATTGTTGGCTGATCGTTCTCTATTGTGTACTGATCGCTAGTTCTTAACTCCACAACTGGTTCACGTATTTTCTCAGGATAAGAGAAGCTGGTCCCATGTTGATTGCTTGGAGTATTTTGACCATTTTGTGTCAGAACCAATGTCTGCACTGGATCTGCAGAAAGGGCTATCTGTGTGGATTCTGGTATGTACCCCAAAAATGCATTGGGTTTAGAAGTAACTGGTTGTTCACTAAGTGGAGGACAGTGTGAAACGCCATAGATTCTGGTATGATTGATCTCCATAGCAGACATTATTTCAGGCAGCGCCGCATCACAAAGTATGGGATTATCTGGAAAATATATATATTTTAAAGTAACCAACGAAATATAAAATACCTTTGAAATATAATTTATGAAATGTATCAAATACCTTGAAGATATATTTTTAGAGTATCCCAAGTTCCTTCATGTACACCATGCTCAATTTTGCAGCGCGTTTTTGCTACCAGATCCCTTCCAAGAGCGACGATTTGATTATTTGATAGATCAGCATGGCAAAGTACAGGTAATCCATGGAAATCTCTTTCTAAGATTGTCAAATAGTTGTGGCTGGCTTTCAACTCTGACAATCGAGGAAGGAATGTCTGAAAAGATATTTTCTTGAACATTGAAATTGCCGATTATATTAATTATGTAATTAATAATCTAAATTTTAGGCACCTTCATACTCTATATTTTGAAAATGTGTTTAAAATTTAAAAGTTTTGTTAAGAAATATTTATATAATTGCAACTTTTTGACCTCAGAACGTAAATGATTATGAGATCCGTTGTTTTTTAAGTCATAACATGGCATAACATGGTACATGCCGGTACATGCTTCCTGTAATTGTTTAAAAAAAAATTAGCATCTAATACCCCAATTTTATATAGGGTGATTCAGAACTTATCCAAAAAAATTTAGGAATAGATGCGGCATGAGAAATGGAATCAATATCGTAAAAAAAATTTTGTAAAATCCTTATAGTTTCCGAGAAAAAAATTATTGAAGTTATAGTACATTCAACGACTACATAGCTGGACAACTGTAGTCTCTAGCGTCATTCGCAATGCGCGTGGAGAGCCACGTGGCCTCAGCGACACCGAATACTGAAATCCAAGCTAATACCGTAAGTTTTGAAGTAAAATTAAATCGATTTTCGCATTTCTCGTCAAAAATATTGTTCGTATTTTAAAAGCTGCATATTTTCTAAAATAATGGATCGATTTTCAAAAAGTAAGAATCGATGCATAGAGAATTAAAAGCCCTTTCTAATGACCCCCCACTTGACCCCCATTCCCATTTTAAAAAATTTGGGGGATGGCACCCCCACTTAGGGGGTTGAAGATTTTGCTATGCTTTTTGCGCCAAAAGTTGTCCCCCTCAGAAGCAAACTTTACCGGTTTTTGGATTTTGTCGAAAAGTTCATTACTACCCTGTAATGCCTTGTGGTACGTTTTCGATGGGCTACCCTGTATATTATTACTTATTCGGAAACCTTATGAAAAGAGCTTTAAGTTAAAAAAAAATCCTCAAGATTCGTTGAAAAACAACGTAGTTACAGACTGTCAAATATATTATTTTCAAGCGAATTTCGCATATTTAACGGCAGGTCATCGTCATTTTCTTCGAACTCGCTGTCGTTCGCTTCCCCCCGACCCTTCCGCCGTGCCGCGTCTCGCCGAAAATCAAGCGACCCAGTGACTTTTAACAATATTTCTTACGCGCTTAACATACTACCAAAAATATAGTAGGTATATTACACCACAAGGGTCAAAAGTTGAATTTTCGGCCCTGCGCGTCATGATGCCCGAGGCGAAGCCGGTCGAAAGTACGTTATTAATTTTACTTTTTTTAACTTTAGAGGTAGCAACAGTAATGACAGCGGTTAACAATTTGTTATAGCAACATAATAAATAGTCCCTAGTTACGAGTATAAATACGCATGAGAAATTCTTTCCTTCCGCCGTTATAGAGGGCGCGCGTGTACTTCTCACAGGGAGTAAATGTTAAACTTTCGTCCCTGCTATTAGGGACGAAAGTACGTACTTTCGACCGAGGTATGAAGAAAAAATATTTTTACCTGGGAAAGTACTCGGGTTGCCAGTTATAACAGTATTTTTTTTGCCGCTACCAACCTAATTTGTTTAACAATAGGCCGTCAACTTTGACAGCTGACCTTAGTGGGACACCCTGTACAATTTATATTATTTATATTTTAATTTATTTACCTTGCTGGTTTCTTCCAATGTCGTCAAGTGATTGTGTGACACATCCAAAAGCCTTAACTGATCCAGACCGATCAAGTCATCGGGCGATATCTTTTTCAACCTGTTGAAGCTCAGATTCAATCTAAGTAATTCCGGTAACCCCGCCAAGGCTCCGTTTAACGTTTCGAGTCGATTGTTGTCCAACTTCAACTCTGTGAGCTTAATGTTCCATTCCACCAAGTTCTGAAATAACTGAAATTAATAGATTTATAAACAATAACTTTCCAATCTCATTAGGACTTACGGCAGCGGGTCCTATTAGTGTAGTTATCTGGTTGTAGGAGAGATCTATGCTGCGAAGCTCTTGTAGACCGACGACGTCTTGGAACGAGAATTCCGTCAAGAGGTTGTAGGTCAGGTTGAGGAAGTTCAAATTGTGGAGATTCAGTAACGAGTTGTTTACAGAGGTGATTTCGTTATGGCCAAGTAGAAGGGACTCCATCAGATCCGATTCTATGAAATCTTCTTCGGTAATCTAAACAAAATTGATGTTTTAATTTAATTAAAAAAATTAAGGTAGTAATACCAGATGAGAGAAGGTCCATCTGTTAGCCAATGTAGTCTAACATAGGGACGGCATAAAGGCAGGCAATAGACTCTTTTAGTGTGACGTCACATATTTAGGTAACCCACAACAAATTGTAATAGTAGACCAGTTGCTGTAGCTGAAAATATAGTAATACCTCCGATTTTTTTATAACGCCATCGATTTTTCTCAAAATTTAGAATTAGGCTCATCTTACCCCCCACTTCAAAACTTATATATGCGCTAGGTATGCTTTTTGTTCTTAAGGGGTGAAAACCACCCCTTATTGGAAAAAAGAAAAAATACAAATTTAAGCATTTTATGTAATCAAATCTTTTTTATTTGTGCAGTATGAGTAATTTCATGAGCTATCTAACATGAAACTTAATGTATCCCAAATTTTCAATCCGGAAAAACCTTTAAAAACCACCCCTTTGGATGAAAATAATATAAAAAAAATTTTTTCAACTTGAAACGTTTTAATCATACATTTGTATCAAATTCAAATTGATTTATTAATTAAAAGATCTTTTTTATTGATTGCAACTTTTCAACCCTTAAAAAATACCCCTTCTTTCGAAAATAAAATGAAAAAATATTATTGTAAGAGAAGAAACATTTTAAATGTGCATTCGTATTAAATAAACATTTATTCCCTTATTATAATATAGTAGTTTTAATATAGTATAGTACTGGTTTATTCGAATATACACATACTAAATACGTATATATACAAAAAAAAAAGATCTAAAAGCTTCAAAATTCTTGTTTAGCTTAAATTTTTCTAAAATTATCACCTATACAGTGTTTATTTTTTTAAAGATAACTTTCTTACTTTTTAAGATTTTTAATAGCACAAAAGCTCATTTTGCAGAGCCAGGGAATTGTAAGGCTTACGTGAACTGTTGAGTTAATCTTTTTTAAGCCCTTTATTTTTAAGTTTGAAGGGTTTAAAGGGCTCGAAAAGGGTGGTTCTCTTATCCATATAACTTAAAATTGCTATATCTCGATTAATATTAATTTTAGAGGAATAAAGAATAAAGCAAAATCTTCGGCAAAAATAAAGCAAAATTTTTTTACCCTTGTATTTTTTTCGTACAAAATTAACATTGTTAAAAATTAAGTTTGTTTTCAAAATCATACTTTGTAAGTGAGCCAAAGACCCAGAACTTATTCTTAGAACATAAATGAAGAAATCTGTAAATGGATTGCATTTCATTTTAATTCTGTCGTCAAAGGCACTGATTTGTTTATTAATTTTTTCTTAAAAAAATTGAGACTATCATGTTATTTCGATCAAATTTCCGTTAATTCTGATTCGAAGAACTTTTTAAACAGCTCATTTTAAAGGTTTTTCAAATTACTTTAAAAAAGGTTCAAATAGATTTTTTCCTAATATTTATGGTTTTGGCGTTATTTAACGTTAACTGGTTCCAATTTAGTTTTTAGCTACCTAACATATAATAATGTTTAAAAATCCATAACTCGGTTTATATTGCAATTAGAGAAAAGCAAAATAATACCATTAGATTTGTTTTTTCATTACCTTTCTTTTTATTCATTAGAACTTTTTCGTTAAATCCAATGGTTTCACAGTTATTTGCAAAAAACTGTCCGAAAACAAGCACTTTTTCAGTAAAAATCAACATTTTCAATGACAAGTTACTCGGAAAGTATTGGATTATCCAAAAAACTTTATATAACATTTGTTACTTAAAATTGACTCCTCTATCGATTCCTGTGGTTATTTTGGGCGTAAAATTTCCACCCTCAAAAGGGCAAAAGCACACTTCGGCACTATACAAGTTTTGTTCCTTGTATAGACCAAATCTGACCCTTATGTACTATTTACATAGATGCTATAAAAATGAACAATTTCAAATTAACTTATTTTTACAAGGATTTAGAATTATTTAAGAACAGTCCAATAACTTTAGTTCAAAATATGATATTGCGACTTTACAGCATTTTTTGAAGCTTGAAAACTGTATTTTAAGATGGTTCATTTTGTTTTATTTAAAACGTTGAATTTATAATCAAATTTAAAGAAAAACAAAAAAAAATTGTTCTAAAACGATGAAATTTGTTGTTAAATAAAATTTAATAAAGTTAAAAAAAATTTTTTTTGATTGTTTAACCAATATATTTTCAAATGTATGATCTATAAATATGTATGATAAAAAATAATGTAATTATACATTATAACGAAAAAAATTTTTTTTTTACTATAATGTATAAAATGGGAAAAAATCGGTTTTTCAATAAATTGTCGCGAGATTCAGTTTTACCTAAATTTTTTCACGATGAAATTATGTAGTAGAAGTTTATCTGGTAATGTAATTCATTCTCGTGATTCGATAATTATATTTTTGAATATTAGAAAGAGATAGAGAGAACATCTGCTCGGTGAATGGAGATGATGCCGACGTGCTTATTGTGAAAACAGCGATTCAGCAACAACACGAAAACGTTGTCATTGTTGGCAGAAGACATTGATGTACCTGTCATTTTATCAGGTTTGTGCCCAGTAGATAGAGACATTTATTTTCTGAAGCTAGGAAAAGCTACTACAGAGCGAAAAGTATACTCGTCGAAAAGTTATTTGAGAGAAATTCCGTCTTGTAAAGAGCGAATTCTATTTATTCATGCTTTTACTGGATCTGACACTACATCATTTTTTTTTTTGGAAAAAGCAAAGCAGTTTGCTAAAATGTGCGAGGGAAAGAAATATTTACAAGAAGCCATTGATATTTCTCTGAAACTAAATCAAGACATTGAAACGATTTGCAATGGTGGTGTTACGTGTTTATTAGCCTTATATGGTGCAAAGACACAAATAAAGACATTAAATGAGTTTCGATGCTTCCTCAAAGAAACAACGAAACCGAAAAAAATGAATTTAGCTGCACTTCTACCATCAGAACATGCTGCTAAGCTGCATTTCAAGAGGGTATATTACCAAGTGCAGGCTTGGCTTGACAAAAAATTGCAGGCAGAAGACTGGGGGTTGGAAATGAGAGGATTCGGGTATGACTCCAACTTTTATGACTCAAGATCTAGCACCATGTGAACTTCTCAAAATGATTTTTTGCGGATGCAAAAGTGGCTGTGCTAATAATTGCGGTTGCCGGAAGGCGGGTCAACTTTGCACCATAGCATGCTCTACTTGTTCCGGAACTGATTGTCTCAATTGCCAAGCATTTTTCAAAGAAGAATGAGAATAAGACCAATTGCCAGAACTTACAATGATTCAAGAGAATGAACATTAAATATTGTTATTTTTTTATATTTCTATTTTTAATATGCAAATACTTTTTCATATTTAATAAATTTGTTAGTTAAGAATCCCAAATATTGACTTTTTGCAGAACCCTAAACATCATACCTAAATTTCTTTAAAATTTAACCAATTGATTTCATTTTATATTTGTTCAATGATCTGAAACATCCTAAAAATATCATTATGAGTAAAATTACTTTGAAAATGTAATTGCGATCGACATATAATTGATTTCGATTATATCTTATTTTGGTAAAATAATAGAAATAATTTTGAAAAATAGACTCCAGTTATTTTGAATCGAACTGTTTTTTGTAAAATAATCAGTATGGTTTCCACCGTGGTAGATTTACCATACACGCCTTACAGAAAATTGTTGAATACTTAGTAATGGGACTAGAAAGCGGAAAACACGTAGCTGGTACGTTGTGTGACTTGACTAAGGCATTTGATTGTGTCTCTCATGGGTTACTACTATGCGGAAGTTAAGTTGCTATGGTGTTCGAGGTTGCGCCCTCAATCTGTTCTCAAGTTATTTGAAAAACAGATGTCGATGTGTTACAGTTAATGGCAATACTTCCAAGTTTAACCGTATTGACCACGGTGTTCCGCAGGGTTCTGTTTTGGGGCCCTTGCTTTTCGCAATATATCTTAATGACTTTTGCTTTGCTATCGCACCTAATAAGTGTGTACTATTCACAGATGATACCACCCTAATTAATATGAATAAAGATTCCTCATAACTAAGATTCATCTAACATGTTATCTAAAGTCATAAATTGGTTTTCATTTAACAATCTTAAAATTAATAGAGATAAATCCCAGAGTATAAGGTTTAACACTACTCCAAGGCATGTAGAACATAAATATGTCAAAATCCTTGGTATTACAATTGATGATGAATTGACTTGGTCGGACCATGTTGAGTCCATGAATAAGAGGTTGTCTGGAGTAGTTTTTTTGTTAAGGCAACTGAGAAAGGTGATTAGCACTGACTGATACTTTAAGATCGGTTTATTTTTCCCTCTTTAATTCCATCTTGTCTTATGGTAAAGCCATTCGTATTCTGGCCAACGTAGGTTATAGAGATCACTGTCGCCAACTTTTTGTGAACCTTGCAATTATGCCCTTGCCATCGCTATTTGTTTCACCTTAGCAAAGCGCATCCCAGGCTGCATAGCCGCACTGCCCTACCCAACCATACCACACATAAACATGACACCACCCCCGGGGTTTACACAGACGAGCCGGTGAAGCAAGAAGAGCGCCAGAAGAAAGGGCCCTAGCCGGCGGGGCCCAGCCAGGACAAAAGGAGGTCCCACAAAGCGCCTATACCGGCCGCATTTGCGGTCGGGGTAGACGACGGATGGGGCCCACCTACGAAGGCTGTCCAGGCCTACACGAGATGAGACAGGATAAAGAGGGATAATCCCCCTCGATCCCAAATCATTGAGGCCAATTTCTAGCCATGGAATAATGGCGCGCGCTATTTGTTTATTACTGTTTATTGAATATTCACAAGAATATTGCCAGTTACACTGTTCAATCGTATATACATAATTACTGTGCTCGTACTTCTAAATTCTAAATATTCTATTCTATTCTACACTTATGAGTAAAAAGGTAACATTTTTGAAATTTATTTGCTTTGATTTGTTGGTAGAGCTGATTCATGAGTCAAATAAATTCACGAAGTCTGTAGCAGTGTAAAACCAAACCGTTCACAAATAAATTCGTGAATTAATTCATGAAGAACTTCGTGAATTTATTCATGAATAAATTGTCCATGTAAAGCAGCTATTAGAGATGGGATATTAGAGGTTAACGAAAGGGCTGAAATTTCCCTTAATCTAGCGACCAGGCCCAAATGATGGTCATTGAATATCGTTCAGCAAAGTGAACGTAAACAAAATCAAGGTATTATTATTTACTCTCTAGGAACGCTAAATGCAATCAACACATACCAAATTGGTTAAGTAATACCTACTGTTTAATTAATACTTACCGTATTAATTTGATTATGATCCAATACGGCTCGTCTGAGATACTTCAGTCTGGCCAAAATTCCGTCCAGTGACTTAAGCCTGTTGTTTTGGAAGAAGATGGATTCCAACAAAGGATACAATTTCAGTTGCTGGGGAAGTTTGTCAATTCTATTCTGAGACGCGTGAATTAAAATCAGATTCGGTGCAGTCCTGGGCAACTGATTATCTAAAGTCGTCAGGTCATTGGTGTTGACGAACAGCCAACCTAGTTCCGAGAGATTCAGCAGAGAATCGTTCAAGTCTCTTATATAGTTTCGGCCTAGGTGTAACCTTTGCAACTGGGGCGAAAACGAGTTGGTGTCTATTCTTGAGATCTGATTTCCCGGTAAAACCAGACAATTCAAAACGGGCAAGTCCTAAGGACAAAGATATACCCATTAAAAAATGCTATAAATATAGAAAACTAAGAAATTGGCTATGTTTTGGTACAAGGTAGATATACTAGTTTCAATAAATTGAGGACAATATAGCTTAGCACTAAACTCATTTTGTCCGCGAGATGGGAACATTTGAAATATGTATAGGCCAATCAATAGGGCATTAAATCAGTGATTTTGTGACAAAAATACTAGTAGCAAACGGACTGTGCCATTGTATAAAAAACAGTCTGTAGATATATGTTTATATGTTCCCTACTCCAGTTTACCATTAATTAATTTTTTATAAATGTTTTTATGAAAAAACGCATTTTTTTTATTTTTTGGTTATAAACCTTAAACTAACGAAGCAATCTGAATGGTATAAAAAGACAAGTTGTAGAGAATCCAAATACGAATAAAACAAGACCTTCATTCACTACTCGACCGCGTACGCGAGCTCGGCCGTTTTTGAGTACCTATGTTTGAAGGAATTTTTCACCTATTTCGCATCATTTTATCGGAAAATTAGAATATACGTTTAGTAATATTATACTGCTACTTTTAAAATCCGGCTGAACAAATAAAATCGGACCACTTCCAACGCATCCAGAAATTTTGCAAAATAGTGCACCAAAAAATTTAAATTGCAATTGTCCATCAAAACTAATGGTCCGACAACGCCTGCTTTGTGCACACTTAAAGTACAAATAATTCACTATTTTTGTGCACAGGGTCAGCTCTACAACTAAAAAAATGGTGGAGTGATGAATTTAAAAAAAAAATGAGTTTTCCGATTTTTCCGGGTTTTCTTCGTTTCTAATTATCCGATCGGATCGACCGACCTCTCGTTTTATTCGTAATTCGATTCTTTACAAATTGTCTCATTATAACATTTAGATTGCTTCGTTAGTTTACGTTTTATAAGCAAAAAACTAAAAAAATGCGTTATTTGCATAAAAATGTTTATAAAATAGTTATTTACACCATAAAGGAGATAAGTATTATTTACCAGTCGAGGACGATTTTGCGCCCGAGCGGGGCGAAGGCTGGTATAGAGTCCGAGACTGGTAAATTATAGTTAACTCCAGCGTGGTGTATAATATTTTATCTGCTCCCATAGTTCTTTATGGTTCATGAAAAATAAATATTAGGTTTTATTTTTTGACATTTCTTAATCAATTCATTTTGGTATTATTTGAAATCTTTGTTTGGATTTTGTCGTTTCTAAAATGTTTATAAACAGAGCTACATAAAAGTTGGAATTTAGCTGGTAGACCGATCGAAATAACTCATTTAGAAGGAAAAAAAAGAAAATTGTTACCCGGACTTTTATAAGTGAAAATGGTAAAGGGGCTTATAATAAACAAAAAATAAATGCGTGAGCAGGGGCGGCGGAGGGTTAATTTGGGGGTTGAAAAGTTGTATCATTGGGATTTCTGTCGAAAGTTGACGTCAGACAAAAAAGTATCTAATACAAAAGTTGTAGATCATGCAAAAATTTACAACTTTTGTACAGGTCACTTTTTAAGATAACCTTAAAATTTCCGAAAAAAATGCGAAAAACAGGTTTTTTCTGATTTTTCCTTTCTTTATTTCTCATTTCCGCAAAAATAATTAAATTTTGGCGAAACTTGGTGAAAGTATACCTTTCTGTGTCTTAAATAACCACAACTTTTTTTAAATAAAAAAATCAATTAGTTTCCGAGATATTAATTTTTTCGGTCTGAAACATTTTTTCTTCAAAGAAAAATTCTATTTCTAAATCGTCGTACAGAGTTCTGCCGGTGATAATTTTTTTCGTTTCAGAAAAAATCCAGAAACTGATTGCTTCATTCAACTGTACGGAAAAAATAAAAAAAACTGTCTCATTGTTTGACCCAAAACTTTACTTTTGTACAGTATTGCTATAAACATAAGTCGAATAATGAATAAATAAAATAAATAATAATTTTTCTTCCGTAGGATCGATTCGTGTACTTATTTTTTTTTTAATTTTGATGAATTCATAGATATACAGTGTGTCCAAGATAAGGATGGATAGCATTAGGATATAGGAAACGTAAGAGATACGGGGTGGCTCAGATAGAAAAAAGTTGTGTTTTTTTTATACCTAACAATATGCCGTTTAGAAAGTTTTAAAATTCCGGATAGTTCCGGAGATATCCGGAAAAACCCGAAATTTTGTAAAATTGTTTGATTTTTTCTGGATTTATTTGAAAACGAATTTTAAAATAAAACATTTTTGAAATTCGACGTTTCGTCTTCGAGGTTCAACGGGTTAATATTTTTAAATAGTCGCTGCTATTTTTATGACAAAATCTAAAGCCATTTTTAATTCTGAATTAGATGTAATTATTATTGTAATCGCTTAAAAAGTTTTTAGCTTGTTTTAGCTATAATTTAAAATTTTTCCTGAATACGGCTCTGAACGCTTCAAAATATCTATTGGATGAAGTCATAACAGTATAAAAGTCAATACTGCACGAAATATCCAACAATTTTTTTTTCTACTATTAGCAATACTAATTAGAAATAATAATATATTTCATAAATTCGTATTATTTTTTTATTAGGTTTTTTAAATTATGGAAAAACAATTATTGGATATTTTGTGCTGTATTGACTTTTATACTGTTATGACTTCATCCAATAGATATTTTGAAAGCGTTCAGAGCCGTACTTAGGAAAAATTTTAAATGATAGCTAAAAACCTTTTTAAGCGATTACAATAGTAATATCAGCTAATTCAGAATTAAAAATGACTTCAGATTTTGTCATAAAAATAGCAGCGACATATTTGAAAAAATTAATCTGACGATGGCCCCTCGAAGACGAAATCGGATTGCAAAAATGTTGACGCCATTGGATAGAGCGAAAAAAGTGGCAATGTAAATATACAATTTACTATAAAATCCAGAAAAAAAAATTTCGGATTTTTGGGTGTCGCGTCAACAGTAGACTTTGCAGTTAATACTTTGTATTGCTGAAATCTCAAATCATCCAGAGATAATTTATTATTTGTGCATTTGTAATTCGACTTAGATGTTTATAGCAATACTGTACAAAAATAAAGTTTTCGGTCAAACAATGAGTTTTTTTTAATTTTTTTTTCGTAGAATTGAATGGTGTAATGTTTTTTAATTTAAACAAATTATCAACAATTACTGAAAAATTCATTGTTGCAAGTAATTTTTTATTTTTTTGCATTTTTGAGCATGTTTTTGAACTGTGATTATAGATTTTTTTATTTCACTAAAATGTATACCTATGTCAAAACGTAAAAAATGATTACCGGCAGAAATGTGTACGATGATTCTTTTAAGTAGAAATTTTCTTTGAAAAAAAGTGTTTCAGACCGGAAAAAATAAATGTTCCGGAAACTTCTTTGATTTTTTTATCTAAAAAAGACACAGAAAGGTCTTTCAACCAAGTTTCGTTAAAATTAAATAATTTTTGCGGAAATGAGAAATAAAAATCGAAAAATCAGAAAAAACCTGATCTTCGCATTGTTCTCGGAAATTTAGAGGTTATCTTAAAAAGTGACCTCTACAAAAGTTGTAGATTTTTGCATGACCTACAACTTTTGTATTGACTACATTTTTTTTTTGACGTCAACTTTCGCCAGAAATCCCAATGACACTTTTTCCCAACTTTTCAACCCCCCAAATCAACCCTCCACCACCACTGCTCACCCATTTATTTTTTTTTTAGGTTTATTATAAGCCCTTTTATCATTTCCACTTATAAAAGTCCAGGTAACAATTTTTTTTCTCCAAGTGTAATTTGGTTGGACTATGGTTTTGAATTATTATTTCTAAATGCTGTAAGCGAATTTTTATTGCCCGAGAAGTCGAAAGTGGCTACGGACGAGCATATAGAAATTTCAAAGAATGGTGCCAGAACAAAAATACTGATGTTTCTAAAATGTCACTGCTAGCATATTTCATGGAGAAGTCAAGAACTTTAAAGTTACCGGCGGCGAGTTTGTGAAGTGAATACTCACTAATGATTAAATCAACTATATTCATAGAGGAGAACGTGGATATATCAAAATACCTAAGCTGAAACCATTTTTGAAACGTAAGAATGACGGTTATACATTAAAAAAGTTAAACGTTTTTACAAGGGAACAAACCAACGGTTTTTTCGCTCAGGCACCCGAGAACACATTTGCTAATGAAGGTTGTGACGGTCCAGAGGCGGACTGGCTAGATGAACAGGCCCGGGAAACATTCATCAAGCGGCCCGTTTTTTGAAAGTTTCAGAATTTATTTTATTTTAAATAGGCTCTTCGTGAATGATTTATTTGAAATATCTGAAAAAAGTTAGCCATAGATAATTTGATATTGTTTTAAAAATAATTAATCTCACAATTTGTTTGTAGATAAAAATTAAAATCTTAAATTCAAATAATTTAGAATTTTTTAAAATGGATAAGTAGTAGTTGGAAGGTTGCAAGAAGTTAAAGCATTATTATTTCTAATAAATAAATAATCATTAAAATATATATTTTGTATGAATCGAAAATATTGTGTTGTAGAGCTAAGTATAATAAAAAAATTCCAATTTAACATAAAAGGAGATTTTTTATAAGTGTACTTTTTAAAACTAATTCATTAATTATATCATCTAATGACAAATTATTTAAAATGTCTACATTTAATGCCATTAACATAAAAGTCTCTAGTTTTTCCTGAGTCAGCGAACTTCTCAAACGATTTTTTAAAAACTTCAAAGTGCTAAACGATCTCTCACAAGCTACTTGTGTAAACGATAGAGATAATACGTATTTATATGCTACTGATGCAAAGAGAAATACGTTTGTCAATAGATTGTATCTATTTAAAATCCTGTAACAACATATGATGCAGTTTTTACATGGCTCATGTTTCTTTTTATTTTTTCCTTTATATTTCTGCTGAGTTTCATCAGTTTCATCTTCTGTGATTTTAGTCCAGACGGTATCTGTTTCAAAAAGCCATATTTGGGTGAATCGT